AATTATATATTGTTTACTTGCTTGTTAGCTCCACTGGACCATAGGCTCCTTGAAGGAAGAAATCAGGAATTATGCTATCACAGTATTGGCACACAGTTGTTTTTTTTTTTAAACAATTGCTAGCCATGGGAGGTGGGACACAGTTAAACTGGCTGACAAAAAGCAGCCCAGTCAACTGCTTAGTCAAACTGAAGAATACTGAACAACTATATGCCATAACCCTCAAAAGACTGCCAACTATAAAAATAAGATACAGAAATATACAGGGTTACTCTCTAACTGAAGTAAAATATACGAAATATATTATTATCATGGTTGTGTCACAGCTATGGAATTTCTAAATGTTTATAAAATATATTTAATTTGTTTAAGGAATTTAACTATTTTAAAGGATGCCACACGACTGACAAAAGATAAAGTACACAATAATTACTATCAATAACGTCTATCTTTTTATAACGCTGAATCGACAGCTCCCTAGTTAAACATTAAAAAAAAAAAATTAGTAATATATTTTCCATTATGGAATTAGGCAAGCGTATTTCATTTTCTATTTATACTGTCTTCAACTAAAAGTGGAGAATTAAGAGGATTATTGCAACATTAAAATTCCTACTCAAACTCTATATTACTAATTTCATTAATATATATATCTATATCTTGACAGATAACTTTGCCTTAATTTGGAATATTCTCTACTCATTTCAAATTTACAGTTACTAGATGCCAGCTTTAACACGTCTGAAAAATTTGGCAACATACTTCTAAATCTATTACCAAACACCTAACAAAACAAGATTCGCAGGTTTTTGTCTTTGAAATTGAACTAGAAAAAGCAAAGGCAAAGGAAATGAAGATACCAGAATTTTCCTAGAAAGAAAGTCGCTAGGGAAGAAAATGAAGAAAATATTTGAGGATACTATTCAAGTCCAAAGAAGAACTAGACGTACTTGAATTATGGTGTTGGCGAAGAACATTGACTATACCATGGACTGCCAGAAGAACAAGTCTGTCTTGGAAGAAGTATAGTAAGAATGCTCCCTAGAAGTGAGGATGGAGGGACTTGATCTCACATACTTTGGACATGTTATCAGGAGGGACCAATCCCTGGAGAAGAACATCATGCTTGGTAAAACAGACGGCAAACACCAGCAAAACTTTCAAGTCAGAACTGAAAGCAAGAAGCCAAGAAAAAAATCACCTATATATCAAATTTAAGAAAGATGCAAATTCAACAAAGCCCTGAGAGAGAAAACGAAGTAGAAAACTGAGACTGATGAGTAGCAGCAATGGCCTTAAAAGCTTTATACATCAGATACGCCTAGATTTGAGCCCTTGGTTCTGTGGCATGACCCTGACAAATTAACTTTTATAAGCCAGAGTTTTCTCCTCTGTAAACTTTGAGATAATAATGTAACTCATAGGATTAGTGTGGAAATTAAATTAAATGCTTTACCTGATGCACAGTGCTGTCAAATGCCAAATTTAGCAGTACATAGTATCCTTTACAAATGATCATGTTATATTGGAGAGAAAAACGAACACCAACAGTTATAATTAGAAAGAGAGAAAAATTCCACAACTGAAGCAGAGAAGTAGACTCTTGCTCTAAATGATTTCTTAAGCAGTAAAATAAAATACCATATCTTCAAGAAGAGCCTGAAAAGCCAACTTCAATTATGGTGCCCCAGAACTATAAGGGCAGACTTCAATGGTGTGCATTCACTTTATTTTCCTCAATTAAAAATAATAAAGTTTTAAAAATTGATGCTGTTATTGTTTGCCATTGAGTCGGTTCCGATTCATAGCAACCTTATGTACAACAGAATGAAACACTGCCTGGTCTTGTGCCATTCTCATGATCACTGTCATGCTTGAGCCCACTGTTACAGCCATTGGGTCAATTCATCTAGTTGAGAGTCTTCCTCTTTTTTGCTGACCTTCTACTTTACCAAGCAAGATGTCCTTTTCCAGGAATGATCCCTCCTGATAACATCTCCAAACTATGTGAGACAAAGTCTCACCACCCTCACTTCTAAGGAGCATTCTGGCTACACTTCTTTCAAAACAGATTTGTTCATTCTTTTGGCAGTCCACGGTATATTCAATATTCTTCACCAACCATAATTGAAAGGCGTCAATTCTTCTTTGGTCTTATTTATTGTCCAGCTTTCGCATGCATTATGAGGCAACTGAAAACACTATGGCTTGGGTCAGGCGCACCTTAGTCCTTAAAGTGACATCTTTGCTTTTTAACACAGAGATCTTTTTTAACAGATCTGTCCAATGCAACGTGTCATTTGATTTCCTGACTGTTGCTTGCATGTGTGTTGATTACGGATACAAGTAAAATGACATCCTTGACAACTTTGATCTTTTCTCCATTTATCATGATGTTGCTTACTGGTCCAGTTGTGAGGTTTTTTGTTTTCTTTCTGTTGAGGTGTAATCCATACTGAAGGCTGTAGTCTTTGATCTACATCAGTAAGTGCTTCAAGTCTTCTTCACTTTGAGCAAACAAGGTTGTGTCATCTGCGTATCGAAGGTTGTTAATGAGTCTTCCTGCAATCCTGATGCCCCATTCTTCATATAGCCCAGCTTCTTGGATTATTTACTCAGCATACAGATGGAATAACTATTAACTATAATGAAAAGATACAACCCTGATGCACACCTTTCCTGACTTTAAACCATACAGTATCCCCTCATTCTCTTCATATGACTGCCTTTTGATCTATGTACAGGTTCCACATGAGCACAATTAAGTATTCTGGAATTCCCATTCTTCGCAATGTTATCCATAATTTAAGATCCACAGAGTCAAATGCCTTTGTATAGTCAATAAAACACAAGTAAACATCTTTCTGGTATTCTCTGCTTTCAGCCAGGATCCATCTGACATCAGCAATGATATATATACCTTGTTCCATCTCCTCTTCTGAATCCGACTTGAATTTCTGGCATTTCCTTGTCAATGTTCTGCTGCAACCACTTTTAAATGATCTTTAATAAAATTTTAATTGCATGTGATATTAATGATATTGGTCAATAATATCCTCATTCAGCCGGATCACCTTTCTTTGGAATAGGCATAAACATGGATCTCTTCCAGTTGGTTGGGCAGGTAGCTGTCTTCCAAATTTCTTGGCATAGACGAGTGAGCACTTCCAGTGCTGTATCCATCTGTTGAAACATATCAATTGGTATTTTGTCAGTTCCCAAAGACTTGTTTTTCACCAATGCCTTTAGCGCAGCTTAGACTTTTTCCTTCAGTACCATTGGTTCCTGGTCATATGTTACCTCCTGAAATGGTTGAACGTCAACCAGTTCTTTTGTTATGACTCTGTATATTCCTTCCATCTTTTGATGCTTCCTGCATCATTCAGTATTTTGTCTGTAGAATCCTTCACTATTGCAACTTGAGGTTTGAATTTTTTCTTCAGTTCTTTCAGCTTGAGAAATACCGAGTGCATTCTTCCCTTTTGGTTTTCTAACTTCAGGTCTTTGCACATTTCATTATAATACTTTACTTTGTCTTCTCGAGCTGTCCTTTGAAATCTTCTGTTCAACTCTTCACTTCATCATTTCTTCCACTGGCTTTAGCTACTCTATGTTCAAGAGCAAGTTTCAGAGTCTCTCCTGACATCCACTTTGGTCTTTTCTTTCTTTCCTGTCTATTTAATGACCTCTTGCTTTCTTCTTGTATGATGTCCTTGATGTCATCCCACAACTGGTCTGGTCTTCAGTCATTAGTGTTCCATGTGTCAAATCTATTCTTGAGATGGTTTCTAAATTCAGGTGGGATATACTCAAGGTCATACTTTGGCTCTCATGGACTTGTTCTAATTTTCTTCAGCTTCAACTTGAACTTGCATATGAGCAACTGATGGTCTGTTCCGCTGCTGGTCCCTGGCCTTGTTCTGACTGATGTTATTGAGCTTTTCCATCATCTCCTCCCATAGATGTAGCTGATCTGATTCCTGTGTATTCCATCTGGTGAGGTCCACATGTATTGTCGCTGTTTATGTTGTGAAAAATTGTATTGGTGATGAAGAAGTTTTTGGTCTTGCCATATTTTCCAACTACCAATCCCTCTTCTTTGTTTCCAACTTTCACATTCCAATCACCAGTAGTTATCAACGCATCCTCATTGCATGTTCAATCAATTTCAGACTGCAGAAGTTGGTAAAAATATTCAATTTCTTCATCTTCATCTTCTTTATCCCCAATGCTTCTGTCAGTCTGTTGTAATGTAGGGGACTGTGTGCTGCTGTGATGCTGGAAACCACACCACTGGTATTCAAATACCAGCAGTGCCACCCATGGTGGACAGGTTTCAGCTGAGCTTCCAGACTAAGACAGACTAGGAAGAAGGACCTCGCAGTGTACTTCTGAAAAAAATTAGCCAGTGAAAACCTTACGAATAGCAGCAGAACATTGTCTAGTATAGTGCCAGAAGATGAACCCCTCAGGTTGGAAGGCACTAAAAAGATGTCTGGGGAAGAGCTGCCTCCTCAAAATAGAGTTGATCTTAATGATGTGGATGGAGTCAAGCTTTTGGAACCTTCATTTGCTGATGTGGCATGACTCAAAATGAGAAGAAACAACTGCAAAAATCCATTAATAATCAGAACATGGAATGTATGAAATCTAGGAAAATTGGAAATCGTCAAAAATGAAATGGAACACATAAACATTGATACTCTAGGCATTAGTGAGCTGAAATCAACTAGTACTGGCCATTATGAATTGGACAATCATATGGTCTACTATGCCAGAAATGACAAATAGAAGAGGAATGGCATTGCATTCTTCATCAAAAAGAACATTTCAAGATCTATCCTGAAGTACAACACTGTCAGTGATAGGATAATATTCATATGCTTACAAGGAAGACCACTTAATATGACTATTAAAGGTTATATATCCCACTTTTTGATAGGAATGGAAATTTGGCACAGATTTTAAATGACTTTTCCAAGTTCACACAGCTTACTTACAGCAGCAGTAACTAGTAGGTCTAGTGATTCCTAGTGAAGTATTGTTCAGTTAGTCTCAAATGACATGCGAAAACACCTGTAAACACCAGAAAGAGCATCAAATCATGACTGGGTTTTTTAATTTAAGGGACAAAAATTAGCAGCCAGACATCTGCAAGAAAACAGTATCTCAAATGTTGAAGTCTGACCATTCACTTCTCTTTGAATGTGCATCTGTTACCATTTATCATTTTTTCGTTTTCTTTAGACATCTATATTTTAAGGTCAAGAGCTTATTTTTTTCTCATTAGAAGTAATACAATGGTTATTACGGAAATTTTGCAATACCAGTAAAAAATCATGTGGATAAAGATTGTGGACCAAAATGGATTAAGAGACTCTCTCTCACCCCAATATCTAATAAAAGAAAAAAAAAAGTTAAAAAGAAATTTCTTAGGAGTACCTAGACAAAGAGAGAGGTAGAAATTAGTATCACACACACTTGGAAAGCTCTAGAATAATTCTGCACAACCGCCAACTTCAACTCTATTCTCAAAAGCTGTACTGGTATCAACACTAAAAATTCTCAACAATGTTTCAAATATGGAGAGAAGCAAACTGAGTATTTAACTTTTCCCTCTTCTGACTAGAGGTGATTGGAAACCGTTGTTTGAAAGAGGATAAAAAAAAGGAGTGATGGTGAAACAAGCTGATGTTAAATAAAATGAATGCTCAAGGGCTCCACATAAAATTAGATGAATCACCCAAAGTACAAGAGGATCCCTCCATAAGGACAGGGAAACTCAAATATACAGAGTGAACCCTAATGCAGAACACTTAAAATCTCCAGTGAAAAGCCTAGAAATTCTTATAAATACTTTATACAAGATCCCAGATGAGTTTCCTCTCCCCTGATGGTGTGGTGGTTAAGCACTTGGCTGTTAACCAAAAGGTTGGCGGTTCCAACCCACCAGTCACTCTGCGGGAGAAAGAAGTGGCAGTCAGCTTCCGTAAAGACTGCAGCCATAGAAACCCTATGGTGCAGTTCTACTATGTCCTACAGGGTTGTTATAAGTCGGGATTGACTCGATGGGCGTTCGGTTTGGGTTTGTCACTCATGGGAAATTAAACGAAGTCCCTGCAGTAAAGAACTCATTAAATGGAATACAGAAAGTATTCAAACCAATAATTCAGAAAGTTCTAAAATAAGCGAAGACCTGAACCTGCAGATAAGGCAGCATCCTATGTCCCAGGTAAAACTGACTGAGAACTATCAGAACTAACACTGACATAAATCTTAATTCAGTTACTAAATTTTAAGCCTAAAGAAAGAATACATCAGGTCTCCAGGCAGAAAAACACACAGAAGACAGAAAACAAAATGCTGAAAAACGATGGAATAATATCAAAAAAGTTCTGAGAGGGAGTTTAAAGAGTCATATCTAGCAAAAAGATGTCATTCACATATAAAGGCAACAAGCAGTCTTACCAAACAAGAATGAACTCAGTAAACACAGCAAATAAAGCCTTGTTGGAGGGAAAGGGATGGGACTGCAAGGTGGCAGCAGGGGAATTCCACAAAGAAATCCTGCCAATTTTTTAAAGCACAATACACACACACACACACACACACACAAAAAAAAAAAAAAAACACACACAGAGACAGCATGGTGGTGAGGTTCAAATTCACTAAAATAAAGAACTAAAACTAAACAAGTGTGAAAATCAGAGTTGTTGAACAGGTGGTAAACATAAATCTTGATAATGTGAAAATAATTACACAACTGAAAAATGCAAAAAACTAAGCTGGATGCACGAGAGTGCTAATTTCTTCAGTTTTCACAGTAGGGAGACAATATCGTCTAAAATCGAAACACACAGTGTAAAAAACAAACTCCAACGTCTTAATTTTTTTTCAAGTTTTTATTTTTTAAACATAGACTGGGATCTTTTAGAAAGCAATCCATAATTTTTATTTGGTTACATTCAGGAAAATTAAGCAGTACCACTACTGGCAAGTGGTGCGCGCACACAAATGTTTTCTTTTACAATAATAGACCCTCTACACACTGCTTTATAATAATTGTCACTTAAAGGAACACAAACAGCTTTTAGACACACACATGGTATATTTACACATATATATTATTATTTCTCCAGTACTATCTTAAGGTAAACAATTACAAAATAGAATTAGTGAATCAAACTATTGGAAAGTAAGTACCAAAAAGCTAAATAATAACTCTACATTAGGCGGAATGAAATCCCACTTGAATGTAAAGGTCTTAACATTTAAAAAGTTTTTTTATTAAAATCTTTTCAAGTACAGTGAAATAACCTGTCTTTTGAATGTAATACTGTAAAAGAGGGGCAAATTTCACTTATTTGCTTGTTTGTTATGGTTAATACTAAACTTGGTTAAGTAAGGCACCTCAGGCAAGCCCTACAGAGGTATACCTCTACAGTTTCAAGTGAGTGGAGCCAGTGAACTGACAATGTAAGGGGAAAAAAAAAAATGAGATGAAGCCTATAGTAGTAACATGAGAAGGAGCTGTAAACCTATATATCAACGAATGCATTTACAAGAGAAAGCAGCTATGAACATACACTATTTATTTAGTTTCAAAGTTATCCATGTAAGTCAGGAATGTAACAGATGAATAGTATTTCTTACCCTCCAGATCAAGAGTATCCAAGGTAGTTGGTGGAAAATGACCCTCTGAGATAAAGATGGGATAAATATAATTTAGAATTTGTACTTACATATATGTATCTAAAAAATAAGACTAAATTATGTTTGACTAATATATGATATACAAATTGACACTAACACCCTCATTTGGTCCCTGTATCAGCGAGGCATGTCATATCACTCACGGTAACCCAGGACCCATGAGGAAAGACTGGGAGAATAGGAATAGGGAGGAGTTAAAAGGAGCACCACCATGTTTGCTCACTTTCAGCTCACTGCTACACAATGCAGGTACACGGGCCCAGTTGGAAGGAATTACTGAATCCAGTGGACTTGCTGGATTTAAAGATGTTATCATTTTTAGGAGCTCCTGGCCGCTCTGTGGGAGAAAGATGTGGCAGTTAGCTTTCGTAAAAATTTCAGCCTAGGAAACTCTCTGGACAGTTCTACTCGGTCCTACAGGGTCACTATGAGCTGGGATCAACTTGACGACAATGGGTTGTGGGTGGTGCAATTAGTTAAGCCCTCAACTATTAACTGAAAAGTCCGCGATTCAAAACCACCCACAGGTGCTTTAAAAGGAAGGCCTGGTGATATGCTTCCAAAAGGTCACAGCCTTGAAAATCCTATAGAGTGCAGTTCTCCTCAGACACACACTGGGTTGCCATGAGTTCACGTCAATAAAAGTGAAATAATTTATGTGTTCCAGTTGCAGATCTTTCCTAATGACAAGTGGCTGTCTGTCAGCTGCATGTTACTTAGCAGATAAAAATAAAAAAAAATCTAGAACTTTAAAATAAAAGTAGAAATGAGCTGCTTTTTGAAAGAAACTTGGGTTATAGAAAGAGTACTTTGAAAACAATTCCACCATTGATTTTGTAGCAGAAAATGATGTAATACCTATAACAATTCTCATATCTGTACACTTAAACTTATAAACCAGACCTTCTATTAACAGATACTCCTCCAAAGGGTTTAAGTTTTTTATCTACTTGTTAAAAATATAAGAATGCACCACCTTCCAATTAGTTTGAAAGAATACACCAGAAGTTGAAATTTACTACATAATTCCTATAAAAAAACTATGTAAAACTGGTGGATGGGAGTGAAAAATGAAAAACATGACTCAGTAGACACGGTAAACAAAACATTTATTATATGTGAATCTACTTATCATTTCAAGGAGCGCTGGTGGCACAGTGGTTAAGAACTACGGCGAGCTATGGCTGCTAACCAAAAGGTCAGCAGTTCGAATCCACCAGCTGCTTCCTGAAAACCCTACAAGGCAGTTCTACTCGGTCCTATAGGGTCACTGTGAGTCGGAACTGACTCGATGGCAACATGTTTGGTTTTGGTTTTTTTGGTGGTGCAGTGGTTAAGAGTTACAGCTACTCACCAAAAGGTCTGCAATTTGAATCCACCAGCCACTCCAGGGAAACCTTATAGGGCAGTCGGAATCAACTCAATGGTAACGGGTGTCATTTGAAGTTATTTGTATCAGCGGTAACACACACAGAAGGGCAGCACAGTTTAATGGTTAAGGGACTGAGCACAGACTCTAGGGACAGACTGCCTGCATCTGAATCCTTTCTCTGTTACTTACTAGCTATGTGACCTGGGACAAACTACTATCTGTCTTTGTTCCAGCTTCCTCCCTTGCACAGTGGGGGTAATAATAGCCTCTACATCATAACAGAGTACGGTGAGGATGACATAAGATAATATGTATAAAATGCACGAATAATAGTGCTTAACACATAGTAAGTACTATATTAAATGCTTGGCATTTAAAACATTTAAAAACAAGTATTAAAGTAAACTTTGTAGCTGACCATCAATTCATGCCATTAATAAATGTTAAGCCAAGAATACAAAAAATAATGATGGCTATCTGTCAAGGACTGAATTGTGTCCCCCCAAAATATGTGTTGGAATGCTAACCCCTATACCTGTGGAAGGGAACCACGGTGGTACAGTGTTTAAGCGCTTGGCTGCTAACTGAAAGGTTGGCAGTTCAAACTTACTAGCGGCCCAACGGAAAAGATGTAGCAGTCTGCTTTCATAAAGAGTACAACCTTGGAAATCCTATGGGGCAGATCTACTCTGTCCTATAGGGTCACTATGAGTCCGAATTGACTAGGTGGCACACAACAACAAACACGTGGATGTAATCCCAGTTGGGAACTGGATTTTCTTATGTTAATGAAGCTGTACCAGTGTAGGGTGTGTCCTAAACCTAACCACTTCTAAGTTATAAGAAGCAGCACAGACACAAAGGCAAAAAAGAAACAGAGACAAGAAAGCACAAACGGGGAAGACAAGATACCACATGAAGACGGCTCTGAATTCGGACTTCTAGCCTTCTGAACTATAAGAAAATAAATTTCTCTTCTTTAAAGCCAGTC